GGATACGCGTATCTCCACGGTGAATACATTTGTCTTATACTTAGTAAGGTGGGTTGTTAGAAATAGTGAATCATACAAATGAAAATTTCTCATTTCAAAATGTTCATTTGAACGTGGATCACATATTTCAACAAAATTTGTCAATTCTTTTCAACTTGACTTGAGTAATGAGTTTTTATGGTTTATGTTATGCTAATGAAGTCTAATAAAATTAAATGCCAAGTAAAAGTTGAGAACCGGTAACACGTCTTCAACTTTAGAATTACATAGAATCTTGGATTTAAAACACCATTAAACATTCCTATGTCAATAACATAAATTAATTTAGTTTGGATATATTTTATTTCTTAATCCCTCATATCCCTAGTATTATAATAACATTCTAATATATATATATATATACGCATAGTAGTTGTATCCGTATACTAATTTTTAAGATTTTACTGTATCATGTCGAAATCGTATTCCGTATTCGTTCTTTCAAGGTAAGGACTGTGGACTTTTGCAGGCCAAAACATTTAGTGCCCAAAAATATTCAACTTATTTCGTCGCTAAAATTATTTATTATATCGACTCATTTATCTAACCTGGAGTTCATTTTTATAATAGCATACTTTCTTTCATTACTTAGGCTTTGAAAGTAATCAATTATTAATGAATAATTTGTTTTCGTTTAATAGCTTATATATCTAATTTACTATTTTATTTTCTGTGGACATGATTAATCCACATCCACACACTAAGCACATGAGTCTCAATCATTCTATTTTATACTTATATAATAATACCACTAAAACTAAGGATCATCTTAATACTATTATATAACTTATTGCATTTAAATAATTCACAAATTTCTATTGAAATGCACTCACATTAATCAAAAACAATTTACTAGCGTGGTTTGCACGCTGATTCCTCGCTAGTTTTACATATAGTTTAGTTGTATTAAGTATACCACTCATGGGTATACTATACTAGTATTTTTCTGTTTGATTGTGATACCTATACATAAGTTAGAGAGTGAGAAGTAGGGTTTATTGTAATCTTCCTCCTCAAACAATTCTTTGATTTATCTCTCAAACCCTAAAGTTAAACAAAAGAAAAGGGCTTATGAATCCACACAATGTCGCATAATACCACAATTCTTCAACCAATAAAATTATTTTTTTGGCAATCAAAGCGCAAGTTTATCATAAACTTAAACATGGTCCTTCGAGCGGACACCAATACACAGCTTTAGTTACCTTTAAAATTTCATCGCCTCCAAAGGTGCGGCGGCTCCTATGGGGCTGGGGGAGGTGTCCCTGCACCAGGTAAGTTTCCTGAACGACCAGATCTTCGAAATTGCCCAACAGGACCAGGTTCTGCTCCAGCATTTGCATCTCGCAAATATCTCATTCTAAGTCTTGATGCAATCTCAGCCAATGCATCTTTAACAACACTAAAGTTTCCAGATATCTGATCACAGAACAGCCATAGTAAAGTAGGGATCAGAATAAATAATAAAGACAAATATATTAGGGGATACATGGTGATATGCACAGAAAACAATCAAAATTCGTATCACCAAGGATGAAGCCACAGTTAGAACCCTAAGGTGATTGATTGGTCTTCGGCCTTCTACTTTTTTGTTTATTTTTCCAAGCATTATTAAGTGCTCCTCCCTCTAAAAGCCGGCATCTTTTTAATGTGGCCCTCTCAGAAATAGGGCCAATATTGTACTACATTCCACTTTCTGTTTGCCCCTCAACCCTTGCCCATGCATATTGTTAAAAGGTATATATAAAAGGAAATTTATCGAGAACGAAGACCAAGGAATTAACATGGTTCGGTCCTAAGACCTATGTCCACACACAAAACACATAAAAGGGTTACATCTTTATTATTCTTGATGATAAATACACATGTGATACACCCATATATATATATAGCGTGACAAATAGAATCATGCCCCTTAATCATAGGGATTGACATATATCAGAATATCAAATAATGCCGCTAAATATGGCCAATGATCGACTCGTCAATCACATAATATCTCATAAATCATGGGATATATATCTANGGTTACATCTTTATTATTCTTGATGATAAATACACATGTGATACACCCATATATATAGCGTGACAAATAGAATCATGCCCCTTAATCATAGGGATTGACATAAATCAGAATATCAAATAATGCCGCTAAATATGGCCAATGATCGACTCGTCAATCACATAATATCACATAAATCATGGGATATATATCTGTCTTCAATACATGTCACAAATAGTGCAAATATTGCAAGCTGCAAACATATCACCTGCACAAGCTGTTCATCTTCAGCAGCATACTTTGGCTTATCTTCCTTGGAATAAACACATATGTGTGCACGGGTTCTTCTTCTCATCTCATCGATCACATTACCTCCTCGTCCAAGAATGCACCCTACCTTACTCGACGGAACAAGAAGTTTAGTTGTGATACTACCTTCATCAGAAAGTTCACTGTTTTGCAGCTGAAGAATAGCCTCTATAGTTCGTGATCTAGGATTCTGTATCAATATCAGAACAGAAATTGCACGCTTGTCTATAAGTAACATATCCCTTAACAAATTACAGTGGATTAATATTATACAGATGGCTCTCTGCATGAGGAGCTGCATTACCAGATGAAAGATATAAAAGATCGAGATATCTTCTAGAGGTGTAAAAAAAAAAAGGGGAAAGGTGGCTGACCTCAAAAGGAGAGACACGAATTATACAGTCATCTGACTCCCCAAACTCATACTCAACATGAATACTGGCCCCTGCCTCTTGCTGTAACTGTTTCATGTTGAAGCCTCCCTTGCCTATCACTTTACTAGTTTTTGCATATGAGCATAAAATTTTCAAAGAAAACTCGTTTGGAGCTTCCCCACCATTTGCGGTAGGAGAACCATCAAAATCACCTGAAACAAAGCCAGAAGGTTGGTTCCCATATCTCCCCATCCGTGGAACCCACAGCATACCATGAGGATTAGCATTGTGTTCTGCTGGTGGTATCATTTTTCCCATAGAAGGAGCAGGAGGATGAAAACCTTGGCCTCCATGAGCCATGGGAAAAGGTGGTTTATCCTTGCGGTGGTTCTCATGCAGTAGAGTAGACACTTCATAAAGAGCCTGCTTTACCACCACCGGCTTACCTGATATCTGTAAGATACAGAAAAAGTGAGAGATTATTTGGGGTGATATCCACTTCACCTTAACAGAACCATCCAAATCAACCCCCATGCACTATGAGTGTGACCATATATATACTTCTATCAATGGCCAAGGATCCCAAAAAAGTGTCCAAATCATTTCCCTGGACTATGAGAGTGTTCAATAATCAACCTTTGGACTAAAGTGAACAAGGCACTCCGTACCAAGGGGTTTCAGGTTCATTAACTAGGCATAATCACAAAGAATGAAAAAGATCACATGAAATGTCACTGAAACATCAAACAAAATCCTGCCAAGAGCTGTTTGCAAAAAAATTTAAGATTTTAGCAGCCAAATTCCAGCTTAACATATACGTCTCATCCAACTTCATTGTCCACCTGGTGCATACATATTTTTGTACAAAACTAAACTTGTTGGATCCAATAGTTACTTGTATGGAAACCTGTCAAGGCCTTTGTCTCATTCTTTTGGTGCACAGTTTTGGTCAATCCAGAACCAGAAATGATACGGAAAATAATGCAAACAGAGAAAAAATTTCCTATTTCGATTCTGAAAAAATTAGAAGAAACATTCTGAAACATCCCAAAGCAGCCTGAAACATTTAGAAACAGGATTTTGATTTTCAATTGCCGATCCATTTCTAGTTCCACCGAAACCGGAACAAAATGAAATTTGGATCTTGCCCCCAATCACATGTATTGGTAGCCACTCCACCAAGACTCATTCTAAAAGTGAGGACCAAGAGATACAATTTTTCTTTAGATTGCCAAGAGATACAACTTGAAAGCCATAGTTACAAAACTTTCTTATCACCTTACTGTGGCACAAATTCATGAATTATTTTGGGGTCAATCAATAAGTCCAGGACATGACACTTGGTAACGCACTCTGTTAACATAATTGACAATAAGCTGGTCAAGACATTATGGACATTTGGAGGAGAAAAGTCCCTGCTTCACACTTTCAGGCCAATTCTCATAAGATATCAAGGATGCTTTTTAAAGTTTCTTATGTAGATTACGCTAAGTAAGAGAAGAAAGATTTATAAATTAGGAACAAAAAATTGGAGGTTCACGATTTAAGAATTAAAGGGAGCCCACATTGAACCAAATCTAAGATTTGCACAGAACTGTTGATGAATAAATAACTGAAAAAGGAAAACCCAATTGAAAAAGTTTCTTCCAAAATCATTTGGCAAAATTTCAGATTAGTTCAGCAAATATTAGAGCACAATTTGAGATATTATCCTCACAAAGATGCTCAAATGTTGTGATGGTTGTGCAAAAAACATCAAAGTGAGGTCTACGCCCAATCCACTACTCCCAGCACCTTGGTTTAACGAGGTCCAAGTCAGGTTTGGCTTTTTAGATGCCATAATGCTGGAACAAATCATGGAAAATTGTATAACATTAGTTTGATGACTTAGCCTTGAATATTGCATGACTTCTGTTCGTGGTGATTTTCCAAGTATAAAAATGGTTGGGCATCATAAATTTCTGAAGCCCATCTGTCTCTTCCAACCCATTACATTACACATCCGCTAAGGCACATCTATTCAGACAAGGATGAATAGCGGCTGTTAGCATCTTCACAGACTCAAATGACAATTAATATCAGTTAGCTTCTCAAGAGATAGCCAAGGCAGTTCTATATAAACAAAAGCACCTGCATCTTGCGATGCAGTTCACAACTCGAAATTCGAGGGATGCATAATTTACTGCATCAAATCAAATTTGTGCTAATAAATGGCAAAGCTAGCACACTATCCCCACAGTTTGGCAAAAGCCTCACTTCTATGTGGAATATTACAAAAAAAAACAACAAAAGAAAGAAATCCCAAAAGTGACACGAGATTTCGTCCGACCCACAAGAAACAAACTCAAATTTTTAAAAAAGTGTTTTCCAATTCTCTTCATTTGAACACACAAGTTTCCAAAAAGCAATCCTAAATGGGAACAATGTAACAATGATTAACACACACCCATATCCACGGTCCTAAATCTATCCCCAAAAAGGCTTAAATACTAGTAATTCAAACAGCTAATAGGTAAAAACAATGTGGCTTATAGAATTAAACACCAAGACCTCTAAAGGAGAAACTAAAATAGACGTGTGTGTGTTCGTGCAAATGTTGCTGAGGGCAAAAATAATAGTTAAAAAGCATAATTAAATAATCATGCAAGACCATCCAGAACATAAAATGCATAAATGTGCCAAGGAAATAAAAAGGTAAGAGGCAAGAGAAGTATTACTTGCACCAATTCATCAGTGTTCTTAGCACATGTAGGAAGATGTTCAGCAGGGAGAACACGAATGCTTGCACCTGTTTCAGTTCGCAATCTCTGAATGACATCTCCATTTTTGCCGAGAAGACAACCAACCATATTGTTTCGAACAAGAAGGCGTGCAGTAACAACATTTTCGTTATCATCCCCATTTTCCATTCTGCAAAAAAGGTCTTCCTCAATAATCCTGTCATGCACTTTCAAGAGAGCATCTTGGGCTGCGCAATGTGTTTTCATGAGCCGGTAAGTGGCAGGATCCTCATCATTGTCAGTATCATGCTTTCTTAAGATTTTTGTAGGACGATTATAGATGATTATTACTCTCTCATCTGAGCCAGTAACAGAGTCAGCAACTGTAATCTTAGCTTGGGTCTCTTCTCTCAGGGATTTGACTATTTTACCTCCTTTACCAATAACACTACCAATCTTTCTAGACTGACATAGTATCCGATAAACTGTGTCTGAAGCTTGAGAATTTCCAAAAGACTTTTCGTGGCAAGAATTATGCCACTTCCCATTTTTGTTGCCTCCAGTAACCATTACCGGAGCTGAACGACCATTTTTGTTGCCTCCATTTTTGGTGCCAGTTTTGTCACTACAAATAGTAGTTGCAGATCCCACTGTCTGCAACATTTCTAAAGCATCACCTCCAGAAATCCTCCAGTGGGTCCTCTCTTGGAACCTCTCTTGCAGTTTACGAACAGACATATAATAAAAAAATTCTGCAGACATATACAAAAAAACTGCATACATCTTATACAAAAAAACTGCAGACATCTTATACAAAAAAACTGCAAACATTACTGCAGTAAAGAGGACAATAGCAAAGTATTGCAACCTTTCTAAAGCATCACCTCCAGAAATGCTCCAGTGGGTCCCCTCTTGCAGTTTACGAGCAGACATCTTATACAAAAAAACTGCAAACATTACTACAGCAAAGAGGAGGACTATTTTTCCAATGATGGTTGCCACTTCATTCAATTTACCCTGCAGCGGGGTCTCATAATCTTCCCCTTCACTAAGAGTTGCTACCAATTTACCACGATGGGTTTTCATCCCGACAGTGGTAACCATCATCCTGCATGATCCATCCTGGATCGTAGTTCCATACAGCATAAAGGGATTTTCATCATCAACATTAACTGGCTCACTTTCTCCTGTCAAAGTAGATTTATCAATGAACACAGAATATCCTAAAACAAAAAGCCCATCTGCAGGGACTTGGTCTCCAGTACAAAGGTGTACAATATCACCTGGAAGCAGATCATATATTGACATTTTTTGCCTGTATCCATCCCTCGTAACTTGAATAGAAAACTTCTTCTCCGCTTTCACCAAATCCCGGAGTTGTAAAGATTGCCGATAATCACTCACTGCTGTCACAAATACCACCAGCAAGATGCTTGCAATGATTCCAAGGCCATTGTAAGCTCCCTTCAGCCATCCTTTCATTTCCAAGTCAACTATCAAAGTGGAAAATGCACACACATCAAGAATCATGAGGGTCATGTCTTGAAGGGCTTTCCAAACGAAAACCCAAAAACTTTGAGCTTCACTCTCAGTAAATTTATTAATTCCATATATTAGTTCTCTGTGCCTCAGCCTACTTCTTTCGGTAGAAATGCCATTGGTGGTTGATGTAGCAAGCTTATCTGCGACACCAGCTACCCCGCCATTAGCTTTCAGCTTTTTAAGGTCATGGCCTTCAACGATGGATGCTAACTCATCTGCACAAATCTGAAAACCGGCATCCTTAACTTCCTCAGGCACAGTGTAATCTCTAGGTGGCACACCTGCACATATTCCGCAGGGAGAGTCAATATGAAGAATTTTATGAGACAAAACATAGCTCAAAGTTACAATTGGAAGAAGCCCACCCTGGATGTTGTAGTGATGAGATCTGGCTTGGAAAGCAGTTCTCACCGTCTCCTATAACATGCAAAACAGAAAAGAATCAGCTACTTAACTTACAGACCATCCTGAGCATTAACAAAATAGAAATCAGGAACTTCTTAGCACCCAAGTTTAGCAATCTAATAAAACTACATAACAAGGAGGAAAGGCGGGGACCTAAGAGTTGATAACCAATTGTTTACAAAAATATCAGTAACACACCTACTGTCAGCTCAACTCAACAAAACTTTGGTTCTGACGCNTTAGCACCCAAGTTTAGCAATCTAATAAAACTACATAACAAGGAGGAAAGGCGGGGAACTAAGTGTTGATAACCAATTGTTTACAAAAATATCAGTAACACACCTACTGTCAGCTCAACTCAACAAAACTTTGGTTCTGACGGGAACTTTCATTTGCACAAACAAATCCAGCAAAGGAAAAGCAGTTGATTAAACATCTGATTTCTCCATAGACATTAAGAACCAATTGAATTCATCTCCCCACTACCCCATCATGATCATCACCATCACCATAAAATGCTATATAAAAACTTAAGAAAAGCTTAACCGGGCCATTGGGTATCAGAGAAACACTATATATGATTATTATGCAAAATTTCATTCAACATGCACTGATTATGATATGACGTTCTATCATCAATACGATAATGCTTAGTATTAGACCATTCTATCATGAATTTACAAGTTCCAAAAGTGAAGAAAAGTGTACATGGACCCGTTTCGCACGGAACGTGGCCTCCGCTTCGCAAGGCTCAGAGAGTTTGGCGATGGTGTCACGTAACCTGCGCGAAGCATTCAGGAGCAAAGCAGCCTGTCTCCATCTCCGCAGCCTCTGTGCCGCTGAGTTCTTCGGATTCAAATCCCCACAATTCTCTTCCAAATTGTTCTCCATTGAAGGATTATTAGTTGGATTAACCAGTCAGACTTATAATTGCTTCCTAATTTCCAATCAATGAACGATTTTGGAGCCGAGGGGTCAAATTTCTTACAGCAAATTATACAGTTAAGAGTAATGCTCTTTCAACTTTGATTAATATATTGCACGGCACTGCGGTCTTTAACGCGGTTTTAAAATACGTTTGGTAGGTGATGATAAAAATTATCAACTTTCTCTTCCAGCCATACATGAAACAAATGTATTTTCCCTCTCTCTCTCTCTCTCTCTCTCTCTCGATAAGAAGGATAAAAATGTAGGACAGATTTTTTTTTTTGGACAATAGAGACGAACAAGTTGAAACCTTGAGTGGTTGAGATCAAATAATTCAAAAGTGTTAAGTTTAATTTTTTTTTTATACGTTCTAAGAGGAATATATTCTAATTCAACTTAAATTTATCGGACAAAAAATTGAACACTTATAACAAAAAAAATTAGAAAAAATTTTTAATTGAATATTACCTTGAAACAAATTATCACCAATTAATAACAAAATGCTGTGTAAAATTAGCGGACTATTGGATATGGGTATGGATTGTATTAGAGATTATCAAAATTACGCCCGCAGACGGTAGACTAATCACACCATTGCCTTGTTGGCTGATTAGAAGAGTGGATAACATCAATGAGGTGGACCCCACTCTCATACTAAGAAGAGATTTGAAGAGAATTTTTTTTGGATATTGAAGAGAAATTGAATTCAAGCAATAGAATTAGATTCGATCCTGACGAAATTGAACTATTGACACTACATTTTAAAACGTCTCATTCTCCAATCGTTATTCCATTTATTGCATCAACATAGACCATCTGAGTAGAACGGAAAAATGAAGACATTTGAGCCTACAATGCAGATCATCCTTTTCCAAGGCTCTCAGGCAGGTACTTTCAAAGTAAATTTTGATGCCGCGGTATATCCAGATCAGAATGTCTTAGAAGTGGGGGTAGTCATATGAGATGATAGGGGTTACTTCGTGAGGCGCATTGTCAAAGAGGATTACTATGAGTTGTGAGATTTGAAAAGCATAATCTATTGCAGCAAAAATTGCAATACAATTTGCAAGGCAANCAAAGTAAATTTTGATGCCGCGGTATATCCAGATCAGAATGTCTTAGAAGTGGGGGTAGTCATATGAGATGATAGGGGTTACTTCGTGAGGCGCATTGTCAAAGAGGATTACTATGAGTTGTGAGATTTGAAAAGCATAATCTATTGCAGCAAAAATTGCAATACAATTTGCAAGACAACAAGAATTAGTAGAAGTCATTTTGGAAAGGGATTCAATAAGTGTTATGAATTCTATAAGGAATGGTGATATAGATCTTGATCCTCTCAAAGCCATTTTCCAAGATATATATTTGCAACATAGCGAGGAGTTTCTAATTTTTTGAATTTTTCGAAGTTTGACGCAATGAGAATAATGTAATTCATGAGTNAAGTCATTTTGGAAGGGGATTCGATAAGTGTTATGAATTCTATAAGGAATGGTGATATAGATCTTGATCCTCTCGAAGCCATTTTCCAAGATATATATTTGCAACATAGCAAGGAGTTTTTAATTTTTTGAATTTTTCAAAGTTTGACGCAATAAGAATAATATAATTCATGAGGTAGTTTGTATTGTTTTACCATTAAATAATAGCGTTGTTTGGATGGAGCAGGTACCAGACTTTGTTATGCTTTTTCTATTTGCTGACATTTCTGAATAATATAATTTTACCGATGTTTCTCAAAAAAAAAAAAAAAGGCACCGAATAATTAAGAGTAAAATACACTTTACCATCTTGAATTATTACTTTTATTTCACTTTGCACTCTCAACTACAAAATTTTACACATTACACCTTAAAATATACTGTTGTTTTGTGTATGTCCACAGCAAATGACAAAACACACGCATTCTTTGAGAATCTCGGGTTGTAGAAACCTTGATGAAAGGCCATTTTGAATCCACCAAAGAGTTTTTTTTCACGTTTGTGAGTCTGTAAACACGGATCCGAATGATATGACTTTTTTCCTCATTTAGCATGACTGAGTCGGACTGACCACCAAGGATCAAGTTCAAGACAGATCCTTCCTTAAATCCATCTGAATAAATGTTACAAGGGTTAAACTGCATGACATTTCACGATATCGTCAATAATAATATGCAGAGACAAATTCCATGGAATACAAAAATGACAATGGTTCAAATGCCAAGTAAAACAACAATGAGAAGATAGAATAGAACCCTGCTGTTCCTAAACGAAAATCAGCAGTTTCAGAACCCGGACAGAGAACAGACTTCCTAGCCCAGCACTGGGAAATTATGAAATCTATAGCTCCCCCCATCATGATACAAAGCATTAATCTACTCCAAGACAAGCAACAAGAAAAGCTCACGCTCAGACTCAAAGTCAAGTAAAACTTCAAAATCAACTCTATTTATCTGGTCCGAAATCAACTCTATTCATAAGTAGGCAATAATAATGATAAAAAGAAACAATAATAATTTTGCAAATTATGTTACAAAATTGCCCAAATCTAGTGTCAGTACTGGTAAGGACCTTGCGCACTCATGTTCTGGTAGCTGGCTTGCTGCGTGTTTTGGTAAGGAGCGTGCTGCGCGTTGATCTGATAAGGGGTTTGTGGAGCATTGATGTTAGGGTAGGCAGCTTGCTGAGCATCGTAGTTCTGATAAGATCCCTGTTGGGTATTGTGGTACTGCCCACCACTACTATTATAGGCCTGAAGCATACTATGGTTGGCATTCAAATGCTCAGCAGACCCACGAATATCAACAGCGGACGCAGAACCACCAGAATGATATTCTTGGAGCTTCATCCTTGATCCAGTAATCTGAATTTTGAGGGAGCGGATTTAGCAACCCTTTCACAATTAAATGTCTATATGGAATTAACACATTATTCATACAAAACATGTGTGTGAGGGTGTCAACTTATTGGAACTTTATGATAACTATTTTTAGCAGAATAAAAGGATCATTTGGATTCAACAAGAACAGCGCGCTTGAGTTTTCTTTCTTTAAAGCTGAATTTAATGCCAACTATCTACCGGGAAATCTCAACTAATATTTGCTAATCAAACAACTTTTTCCTTCTTTTTTCGATAGTTAATAAGGTATTAGAAACTCACATCACCAATGTTGTTGCTGCCTGTCCCCATACCAGAATTCACAGGATTATTTGGAATCCGAAACTCCATAGAACTGTTGACGTTTTGGAACCTGGATCATTGAAAGATGATATTCATCTGTATCCCAATACTCAAAACATGAAATGAGGAATGAGCACTATAATAGTATTTACCCAGCAGCACTTGGAGGAACTTGATAACTTGGAGGTTCATATTCACGCCGACCACCCTACATTACAGCAATAACAATAATTTAGTAAAACATCAAAGGGCATTTCTCTACAACCATATTAATCATGATGATGAAGGGAAGAATAAGCAAACAATCTATTTATCAGTCAGACTAATGCCTCTTGAAATAAGTTAACTGTTAGGCTGCAAGATATCCTAAACAAGAGTGTAGTGCAAAGAAAGATGTGTCCTGGCAAAAGCCCAAAGCAGATTAAAAATGTTCTACACAACTGTATTCAAGAAGATAATGAGAATCATTCTGCACATCTTTTGCTAGTGATATAACAAGCCCACAAAAACCACAATCTCTATAGAATCAACAAAAGATGCAGCAGAGAAAATATTTTAAAACATCAATTGATTGATACAAGTTCCAGACAAAATGGTATTGGCTGCTGCAGAGGAGACAACAGAGCTGGGGTGGCAAGAGCATGGTGCAGTGGCATAACAGATGAAATCATAAAGTTCTTCCAGCACATATAGGAAAGGGGATAAAGTAGTGTAAAATAATTTTTAAAACGAATCACAAACCCTTCCAAAATTACCACAGCCAACTTCACCCAGTGAAGAGTGCCGATAGCTGTCTGACAGCACTTGAACTCTCCAGCTGAATACATGCCCATATTAGTAATTGAAGGATTTTTGGGCTTTTTTTGGGAGGAGGGGGTGGGGGGAGGGAGCGAAGCACAAACCAAACTATGAATGATGAGCATGGGAGCTCTCACAAACTAAAAACACAATGCAATTGCCACTTTCAAGCATACCCTTTTCCGGTGGCTCGGAAATATCAACTTCAAGTACAATAAAATTACTACGAATGACAAGTTCAGAATATAGCAGTCAAGTTCCAAACTTTTTTAGTGAGGTATGGTGGCTAGGGCATCAATTGGACAACTAAAAAGAAAAAGGCACCTAAACAAGCATCTTCACAGGCCCAGATAAACAAATCACCCTTTCATTCTGGGTTATAGAAGGATTATACCATGCCACTATGTGAGCCTTTTTTATCATATATGTTTTATTGATAGTTAACAGAAAAATGGAAAATATGGATTTTGATAGGGCACAATGGAGAATTAGGATCAACGTAGCTGACCCTCAATAGTCGGGATAAAGACTTTGTTGAGTAGGGTTGAATCCTGTTAGAAGATTGCTTGGTACATATAACTCTAGATTTGAATACTGGTGGGAATCCAGAAGACCAAAACTAGCAATAAAAAATTGCAGGTATAAATAGCACTACTCTCCCAGTTTTTCCACATTGCAATTTCCCTCCATTTAGCCACTACAGTTTTATCGAAAAAAGTGGGCGTCAAATGGTTTATTCACCTTAGATGGTCAATTAAGTCACAGAGAGTTCCCAAGGAAATTTATCCCACTAGGCCACTACCAATCCCACTCGGTAAAAGCATGCCTATTAACCTCAGATGCCTGCCTATGACACTCCCAGAATAAGAGTAAAGGTAAGAGCAGCCAGCTGGGGCTTTATCTCAGCAGAAACCATAGACTCATTTGGATCAGCTGGTTAGAATAGAATGTACAGTTTTTGAAGACAACCGTCAGTTACACAAAAGATCCAATATACCCGAATGAAAGTAGTGTTCAGCAACACATTCAGATGTATTGAAAAATTTAAGGAATATTTGGGGCAGCAGGCAGGTGTATTAAGAATGAATGAAACAGGAACAACAATCACAAGGACGAGAGGGAGAGGGAGAGGGAGAGAGATTTGTAATCCCATAGTTATGCACTGATGACTTCATAAATGCCATAAGCCAGTTAGGAAAATGGAATCATGATGCTGCTACCTGATATGTGAATGTTCCATTATCCCACTCCAGTGAGATGATAAGCAGTACCTAAAGCAGTAGACTTGCTCAAGTGCACTTCAAGCACTAGAAAAAATATCTACTGGGAAAAGGGGTTAAACGAAGTTTCAGATGCCAGCAGGCCATTGTGCCCACCAAAAAAGCATTCAGCACTTTAGCCCCCAAGGCTGAACGCTCTTCACTGACTGAAGTAGAGCCATGTCCTAATGGAGCAACCTAGTTTCAACGGGTTTCCTTTTTCAAGAAATTATTTGAGATACATGAGTCAGCAGTCCAATAGGGGGCGGCAATGGTAAAAGAAGTTGCTCCCACTTGTGCTTTTATCATGATGCTCAACTGTCATTCCCTGAGGTCAAAAAAAATAATTCTGGGGCCACTAAAGCTGATAACATAACTGTCAAACTTCCAGATAACCATTTTGCCTAAAAGGCCATATGGAGCACCAAGAGACTGCAGCCTTGCCCTAGCATTTGCTCCAGTCTACTCTTCTATTTATTTGTCCAATGCCAAGCCTAAACTTACCCAATTGGCATTTTCCAGCTAAGAAAGAAACACGATCTCGATTCCCCAAATTTCAATGGGATTGACAATTTGTTTTTCACTCATGGCTATTTAGGACTGAGTAATCTAACGGCATTAGAGACGACATAATAATGCAATAAACAATTTAGTCAATAAAAAAAGACATGTAGACCATAAAAATCAAGCTGCATCAGTCTGCTAAAATTCAAAGATCAAACACCAGGGATTCAAGACACAGACACCCCCCCACCTTGCCTCCGCGAGTCTATTCACTCAGGCACCACATGATCTCATGCATATAATTATTACATTTAGTCTTTCCAAAAGCAAATGAGAACATGTGAAGAAAAACAACAGGTCATGCATGGGATAAATAACAAATAATGGGAAAAAGATCTCATTGAAAGGTAAGAGCATAACCTGCGCACACATATATATTGCAAAATTTCAAGAATAATATTCTATGTCCACTTTTTCCAACAACTTTGGTCATTTATAGATTAGCATATCATCTTTCTTTGAGCTTATTATGTTGTTGATAGATTGTCAGTAAGAGGTCAATCATTCCTAGTCGAACAACTTATGGATAACCCTTTCACCCACCAAAAGAAAAGATGTAGGAATCCACACAATGCTGCATATTACCACAATTCTTCAACCAAAAAACATTTTTTGGCTAGAAATCAGAGAGAAAGTTCATCGTAAATAACTAAATGATCACAAACCTAAACATGGACCTTCGGACACGTATATACAGAGCTTTAGTTAGATATACCTTTAGCATTTCATATCCACCAGAGCCGGCAGGAGGAGGTGGCCCTGCACCAGATAAGTTTCCTGAATGACCAAATCTAGGAAATCTAGGAACTGGCCCGACTGGACCAGGTTCTGCTCCAGCATTCGCATCTCGCAGAAATCTGGTTCTAAGTCTTGATGCAACCTCTGCCAATGCATCTTTAGCAACACCAAAGTTTCCAGATATCTAAACACAGAATAACCACAAGTTCAGTAGGGATTAGATTAACTAATTAAGATAAATGTAATAGGGGAAAAATAGAGATCATATGCATGGAAAAAGAAATTCAAAACTCTGATGGCATATCACCAAGGGCGAAGCGAACCCCTAATTCTTGGAAATTGCCTTTTGGCATTCTAGTTTTTTCTAATTTTCCAGATACGATTGGGTGGCCCCTCTAAATCATCAATTAATGTGTTAATCTCAATGCTATATGGCTTTATGTTCTGCTCTTGACACCCACCCCCCCCAAAAAAAAAAAAAAACACCAACAACAAAGGCCAGTTTCCTGCAGCCACCAACAGTNTTTCCCCCCCCCTTTCCCCCCCCCCCCCCCCCCCAAAAAAAAAAAAAAACACCACCAACAGTTTTAGATTCTAGGTTTCACCCATGCATATCACAATTAGTGCTAATATTGCAAGTTGAAAACACCACCTGTACAAGCTCTTCATCTTCAGAAGCACATTTGGGCTTATCTTCCTTGGAATAAACACGTATGTCTGCGCGTGTTCTTCTTCTCATCTCATTGATCACATGACCTCCTTGTCCAAGAAGGCAGCCTACCTTACTTGACGGAACAAGAAGTCTTGTTGTTATACCACCTTTATCAGAGGGTTCACTTGTTTTGTTTTGAAGCTCAAGAACAGCATCTATAGTTTGTGATCTGGGATTCCACAGAGCCTGAATCAATATCAGAACATAGATTACACACTGGTACGCATTAAAAAACTACAGCGAAATCAACATTATAGACGCAGTCCTCTGCATGATTAAAAGATGGAGATATCTTCTAAAGAAGTAAAGAAAAGGGGAAAAGGGGCTGACCTCAAAAGAAGAGACACGAATTATACGGTCATCTGACTCTGCTGACACATCCTCAACATGAATACTGGCCCCAGTCTCTTGCTGTAACTGTTTTACATTAAAGCCTCCCTTGCCAATCACTCCACCAATTTTTGCAGCTGAACACAAAATTTTCAAAGAAAACTCACTTGGAGCTTCCCCACCATGTGCGGCAGGAGAATCATTAAAATCACCTAGCCCAAATCCAGAAGGCTGGTTCCCATATCTCCCCATCCATGGAACTGGCGGCATTCCATGAGGATTATTATTCCGTTGAGACCACATGGGATTTCCTGGTGGTTGCATATTTCCCATAGGAGGTGCAGGAGGATGAAAACTTTGGCCCCCATGAACCATGGGAAAATTCAAAGGCGGTTTGTCCTTCCGTGGGTTCTGATGCAGTAGAGTAGATACTTCATATAAAGCCTGCTTTGCTACCGCTGGCTTACCAGATATCTGTAAAATATCTACCAATGTGAGAGATTTATTGGGGGTGAGGGTGATAACAATTTAACAGAACTATCAAAATAAACAATCTGCACCATGAGTGTGATCACCTATAAACTTTTATCAGTGGCAATGACAATGTCCCCACAAACTCTCTAAATCATTTTCCTGGACTATATGTGTTCATTAATCAACATTTGGACTAAGGTGACTAAAGCACCACATACCAACGAGTTTCAGGTTCATTAACTAGCAAAAATCATGAAGAGTGAAACAGATAACAAGAAATAAAGTGCTGATGGCAAAATAAATTTAAGATTGCAACAGCCAAAATCATGCTCAACAAATATGATCCTCCCAACTTCATTCGTTCGAACCGAAATCAACTTGTATGGAAACCTTTCATAGTTTTTTTGTTTTGCTTTTTTGGGTCCAAATCCAATGGCACAGGCTAACCATCCCAAGTCCCAACCAATGATCNCAACTTCATTCGTTCGAACCGAAATCAACTTGTATGGAAACCTTTCATAGTTTTTTTTGTTTTGCTTTTTTGGGTCCAAATCCAATGGCACAGGCTAACCATCCCAAGTCCCAACCAATGATCAAAATTTCATTTTCATCCATAGTCACAGTAAGCTTGGAAACAAAAAAGATTTCGAAAATATTTCAGAGAAAAATTCAGAATTTTGATTCTGAAACATGAAACATTAAGAAGTCTCTCGAAACATGGGCATTGTTATTTTGATTCATTTCGATTTCCACCAGTACCAAAACGAAACAAAATTTTGATCCCCGGCCTGTCCCCAACCCCATGTCTTGGTGAGTTGGTGTTCACCCTACCAAGACTCAATCCACATGTAAGGACCTACAGATGCAACTTGAGAACCACAGTTATGTAAATTTTTCATCATCTCATTCTGGAAAAAATTCATGAACTATTTTGGGGTCAATTAATATGACTAAGACATGATACTAGGTAATATGGAAAGTCAACAAATGCTCAATAAAATATTTATGGTGAACCTATAAGGAAACTACCTAAACAAGATTTTGGAAACAAAACAACACAACAGAAAGATAACCTTTATTGCTCTGTCTACATTACTGATAATAACCTGGTCAAGATATTGTGGCCAACCCTCTTGAACTCAGACCAAAACCTTCAGAGTCATTCGGTCAGAACTAACCCTTTAAACCAATTAAGTTTTTGGGACCAGACATTTGGAGTTGAAAAGTTCATGCTTCATGCTTTTGGGCTATTTCTCTTAAGATATCAAGGATGATTTTGAAGTTTTGCTTATTTAGGTTCCAATTAGTGAGAGGGAAGATCCATAAATGAGGAACAATAACAGCGGAAGTTCATAATTTAGGAATTAAGGAAGCCCATATTGAACCAAAGCTAAGATTTTCAGAGACTTGTGAATGAATAAATAACGAATCTAGGGAAAATGAGTTGGCATATACTCTTCCAAAATCATTTGGCAAATATTCAGACTAGCTCAACAAATATAAGAGCATAATTTGAGATATTATACTCGTATAGAATTTCAAATGTTGTGATCCTTGTGGAAATAACATCAATTTAAGTTTATACCCGATCCACCACTCCCTGCACCTTGGTTTAACGAGGCCCAAATCAGGTTTGGCTCTTTAGATTCTAATATGTTTGAACAAAATGTGCTAAAGTTGTATACATTAGTTTGATGAATTAACCTTCAAAATTTAAAGACTTCTGGCCAAGGTGATTTTCCAACTATACCAACGGTTGGGCATCATAAATTTCTCAAGCCCATCAATCTCTTCCACCCCATCACACTATGCATTCACTGAGGCACATCTACTCCAATAAGGATGGATAGTACTGTTCCCATCTTCACAAACTCGAGCAACAATCAAATATCACTTGGCTTCTCATGAGACTGCCAAGGCAGGTCTACCTAAACAAAAGCACCAACATCTTGCAGGTGGTTCACAACTCGAAATTCAAGGGGCACCTCGTCCACTGCATTGAATTAAATTTGTGCTGATAGACAGCAAAGTCAACACATTATCCCCACATGGTACTCCTTACTTTGTGAAAATTTGGTCTTCTTAAGGTCAAAGGTTCAAGTCCCCCCTCCCCCTCCCACTCCCACTCCCACCCCCCAAAAAAAAATGTAAAAAAAAAAAATCTGGTTCATACAGACTATAAATTTAACTGCAATTCCGACTGGGGATCAAGAAACACCACAAAAAATAGGACATTGTCAAGGCATAAAATATTTTAGCCAAATGTAAAATCTCCCAAGTTATATTGGAATTTGAAAAACAAAATGCAGTATTTCCACCATAGCTGAAGAGGCAGAGCTCATGAGAAGTTATTCTTGATTGTTTAGTGAAGGTCTCAGCCAGCATTATGGTAGTGAGGATAAAAAGATTCACCAGAGCATCAACCTACAATTGATGACCATGCACAACTTCTAGGAGGATTACATATTGAATTCATTTTTCAAGTTACAATCTAGGACGCTTTTAGGGATATGTCATGCACACAAGAGAGGCAAAATCAAAAATTACTGCATAAGACCAGCTTCCTTTGCCAAATATGAAACACGTTCGCCAACATTGTTCATCTCCAAAGGGCAGGTAAGTAATATGAATGAACATTACAAGAGAAACAATAAGTTTCCAAAAAGCAAGTAATAAGTTTCCAAAAAGCAAATTTTAAGTGAGAACAATATAATGATAATAAACAGTAGCCAATAAGCATATTCTTAAGTTAGCCAGCACCCCTAGCATTGTCCCAATCCAAATGTACCGCCAAGAATTAACAACCAAGACCTTTAACTCAAAGTAGGGGTGTGTGTGTGTGTGTGAGAGAGAGAGAGAGAGAGTGTGTGTGTGTGTGCGTGTTTGTTGCATCTGCATGTATTTGTGTGTATACAAATGCTGCCCAGGGGCAAAAATCATGGTTAAAAGGGATAATTTAATAATTATGCACAACCATCCAGAACATAAAGTACACTTGTCAAAGAAATACAAGGTAAGAGGCAACAGAAATATTACTTGCACCAGTTCATCAGTCTCCATAGCACATGTAGGAAGATGTTCAGCAGGGAGAACACGAATGCTTGCACCCGTTTCACTACGCAATCTCTGAATGACATCTCCTTTTTTGCCTAAAAGACAACCGACCATGTTGTTTGGAACAAGAAGACGTGCAGTAACCACATTTTCATTATCATCCTCATTTTCCATTCCACCAAGAAGGTCTTCCTCCATAATCCTGTCATGCACTTTCAAGAGAGCATCTTGGGCCGGGCAATGTGGCTCCATGAGTTCATCTTCTTTGTCAGTGGCAGGATCACCATCACTATTGTCAGTATCGTGCTTTCTTGAGATTTTTGTAGGAGGACTATAGATGATTATTACTCTCTCGTCTGCACCAGGAACAGAGTCGGCAACTGTAATCTTTGCTTGTGTCTCTTCCCTCAGGGCTTTGACTATATTACCTCCTTTACCAATAACACTACCAATCTTCCTAGACTGACACAGTATCCGATAAACTGTGTCTGAAGCTTGAGAACTTCCAAAAGACAGTTCATGGCTAGAATTATGCCACTTCCCTTTTTTGTTGCCACCCTTTTTCTTAAATTGGGGGTTAGCAAGTTTCTTAAAAAAGGGTCGCCTGTTCCCTTCCATACTTCAACAAAATTATTAATTAGCACAGATTACCAGGGCGGGGTCAAAACCTGAAAATTAAAAAATCTGTTGGCATCAGAAAACTAGAGATTATGACACAAATATCAACAAGCCAGAAATTAGCATCTTTTCTTATATATAAAGTCGATCCACAGTAGATATCAAGCAAAAAGGATGTCTAAATGAACCCAGTCACTTCAAATCATAAAGACATCTAAGTATGAATATATCAGAACTAAATAATAGCATGTGTCTCTTCTTTAGAAAGGAGAGGAGACAAGCGCGAGCTATATTCTCTCCCCAAGTAAAATGAAGTTACAACAAAAGAATTTCTTGAAATTGATATGAAAATGAAATCATGAAAAGGGGATGGAAACGTCGTATTTGATTTTAAAATTTCCTGCTATATGCTCCTCCTTCTCCACATCCTTATTTTCCACAACATCCAATCGCAAAAAAATCATCCCCTTTCCGTTTCTATTTCTCTCTTCCCCAACGGAATTCGCGACCAAAACAAAGTGCAACTTGATGATATTCTATAGATAACTCTTTCTTCAATCTTCTGCAAAAGAACTCTGGGCTTATTAGTTATTATATTGCACAGCAATTGATTCATTAATATTTTTATTCACAGTTATCGTATGGAAGAAGGACATTTGAGAAGAAATAGGTGATTTTCTTTAATGAAAGTGCATGATATACGTCAGAAGCATAGCAGTAAAAAATACATGCATTTTCACAAACAGACACCCACAGTAAGAAGCTCACATTCCACTGTCATTGACTCATCGATCGGTTAGTCCCTGTGAGGCCAAACCTCTATCATCAACCATCCATTTCAGGTGGGAACCTAAAGGAACTCCAGACAGTTGGAATCAAGTGAAATGATGGACCCCGAAGAGCTAGGAAACGGAACCCACCATATTTTGTCATGCTAGCCGCAGAACTAGAAGGACCAGTTCAAAAGACAACAGAAGTGAAGGCTAGATTCTATGGGGAATATCTAATCCATTTGCTTAAGTTTAGGAAGAAGGTTTGTTGAGTCTGTTGACTCTGTTTAGGAGTCTAAGTAGCCGTTGGGTTTACTTACTATAAATAAGTCTTTCACAGTAGAATAAAATATTAAGAAATTTGATTATAATCGTGGTTTTGTCTTCAGACCAAATTGGAGAATTCTATTTCATTTCAGCACTTCAGTTTGAGTTATTTGTTGGGTTCTAACAAACCTGGTATCAGAGCAAAGCAAGGGAACTAATAAGGAACGGCTTGAAAAGCTAGAGTTCGAATTGCAAGAAGTGCGCGATGGCTTGTAGCGATCGGCAACCGAATCTAGGGAAACATGAGCTCAGATGCAAGGAATGGAGGACAAGCTCAAGGAAGTCCTCGACTCCTTATCTGGTTTCTGTATGTCCTAGGAAAAATCATCTCAACATCATGGCGAGAGGAGCTCTTTCTCTCGAGGAGGTTCCAACAGATATGAGGGGTCCCACCATTCAACCCACATAAGATTCACTAAGATGGATTTTCCAAAATTCTCTGGTGATGATCCAACGGAGTGGCTTAGCAGAACTTCTCAATACTTCGAATTTCAGGAAATTGGGGAGTAGCAGAAGGTCGCCTTAGCATCCTTCCACCAAGAGGAGAAGCCAACCAATGGTGGCACTGGCTCAAGAGGGTCCAAAAGATGAAGAAGTGGAGATTACCTGAGATTTATTTGAGCGTGAGATTATGACTCGATTCAATCCCACGGAGTATGAATGCTTTGACAAAGCACTATCCAGATTGAAGCAAACAAGTACCCTCAGGGACTACCAACATGAGTTTGAAAGGTTGGCTAACAGAGTGGTTGGGTGGCCGCAATCAACTCTTGTTGGAACCTTTCTCAGAGGCCTACGCGATGACATCACTGATGAAACCAAAGACTCTACGCGAGGCCATCAGGGTAGCCAGAATAAAGGATGACTAGCTCATGAGGAAACGAAGGCAGGGATGAGTAGAAGGGACACGGGTTGGCCCACCAATACGATTTCTCATAGCTCCACCACCTACGATGGTACCTACAACCCTAAAGCAAGTCGTCGACTCTCTGATTAAGCGCATATCATGGGATGAGATGGGGCGAAGGAGAGAGAGAGGTTTGTGCTTCAATTGTAATGATCGATTCACCCTTGACCATAAATGCAAAACACCACAGTTCTTCTTGATCGAAGGAGGAGAGGACGAGGAAGGCGAAACCAGCAACAATGCTCCCAAATTCGGGCCAATAATCAATGAATTGGAGCAGGAACGAGATGAGCAACCTGAGATCACTCTTCATGCTTTTTCGGGTTGGAAGGGGCCACACACAATGAAGTTTCTGGCGTTTATTGGCAAACACTCAATTACAGTGCTCGTAGACAGTAGCTTTAGCCACAACTTTGTGAGCCAATGAGTTGCTCGACACCTTCACCCACCAGTTATTTCCCCTGATAGTTTCAATGTGAAAATTGCAGACGGAGGCCAACTATCTTGCCAAAAGAAACATGAAGCCGTACCATTGGAGATCCAAGTTTTTTCCCCTGCTATCACTTTGTTTTCTCTTCCACTACAAGGATTGGACAATTATTGGGCGTACAATGATTGGTGGAATTGGGTCCTGTACTATGTGATTGGCACAACATGACGATGAGATTAAATTGGCAAATGGAGTCTGAAGTGCTTCATGGTCAAAAGGATGGGCCTTCAACGACAATTTCTATACAGTCTCTTGAGAAAGTAATTGATGATGAGGGCACATTATTTGCATTATTGGTCAAGGAAGTCGAACACACTGAGGAGAATGCTCCACAACTGCCAACTGATATAGATAAAATATTAGAAGAATTTGCTGCAATTTTTGAAGAACCATGTTCCTTGCCTCCATCTAGAGAAGTTGACCATTGAATCCCATTGAAAGAAGGTGTATCAGTTGTCAATGTTTACCACTGTAGATACGCGCACTTCCAAAAAAATGAAATCAAATGGCAAGTAATAGAGATGCTTGAGACGGGGACAATCTGTCCTAGTCGCAGCCCTTTTTCCTCACCAGTCCTACTAGTTAAGAAAAAAGATGAATCTTGGCATTTTTATACTAATTATAAGGCCTTAAATGAAGCAATGATCAAAGATCACTTTCCCATTCCAACGGTAGATGACATGATCGATGAATTGCACAGCGCCAAGTACTACACTAAGCTCGACCTTAGAGTTGGGTACAACCAAATCCGAGTTCATCCAGTAGATGCGCACAAGACAGCATTCCAAACACACAGTGGGCATTACGAATACCTCATTTTGACTTTTGGGCTTTGTAATACGCCTTCAACGTTTTAAGCCACCATGAATTCTATCTTAAAGCCGCTATTGCGTAAATTCGTTCTTGTATTTTTTAACGATATTTTGGTGTATAGTTGCTCTTGGGAGGAGCATTTGGAACACATTAGAGTGGTTTTAAAATTTTGCAAGCTCATCAATTTTTTCTTAAACACTAAAAGTGCGTTCGGACAAGAGAAGGTGGATTGTGTGGGGCATCTAATTTCTAATAAAGTTGTGCAAGTGAATGAGAAACAAGATTGGCCTAGACCCACCAAGGTGACCGAACTAAGAGGATTTTTAGGACTTCCAGGGTACTACCGTAAGTTTGTATGCAGCTATGGAATTGCCACATCCCCCATGACGCAATTGTTGAAGAACGGACAATTTCACTGGGATGAAAAGGGAAAAAATGCTTTTGAAGAACTCAAATTATCCATGACCAAAACCCCGGTATTGGTTACCCCTAATTTCAATGAAATTTTTGCAATAGAAGCAGATGCTTCAGATGCAGGTATTGGTGTTGTACAGTCCCAACAGGGCCGGCCAGTGGCATTTTTTAGCAGAGCTTTGGGCCCAAGAAAGAAAGCCCAACCCATCTATTCAAAGGAGATGCTTGCCATATTTGAAGCCATTTAGTGTTGGAGGCCGTATCTCTTGGGCAAAAAATTTCAAATCCTAACAGATTAAAGCAGCCTGAGGTTCTTCTTGGAGCAACGTGTGGCCACCCCAAAACATCAAAAAAAGGGTCACCAAGTTGCTAGGCTATGAATATGAGATAGTGTACAGACTAGACAAGGAGAACATCGCAGCAAATTCACTATCTAGAGAAGTGGGGTCACCAGCTTTGTAGGCAATTTCTGAGCCTCAATTCATTATATGGATTGAAATTAAAAAAGAAGCTATTGAAAGACCATGGGTTCAAGAAATAAGGAACCGCATAGAAAGCAAGCCTAAAGATGTGCCTGACTATGAATGGAGAGACGATTTACTATGGTTCAATGGGCGTGTAGTCGTTCCACCAGATTCTATCTTGAAGTCCCGCCTACTCCAAGAGTTCCACGGCACAAAAACATGAGGCCACTCATAAGTATTGCGAACCTAAAAAGGAATTGCTCAAGCCTTTCATTGGAGCAGACTCAAGAAAGACGTGCAGAATTATGTCGCAGCATGTGACGTGTGTCAACAAAACAAGACCAACTCTCGATCACCGACGGGTCTTCTTCAACCTTTTCCTGTGCCATCGCAAGTATGGGAGGATGTTTCTATGCATTTCATAGAGGGATTGCCCAACTTCAACGGGAAAATCGTCATACTCGTGGTGAAACTGGGTAACAAAGAATTCCACGACACAAAAACAAGTTGTAAATAATTTTCGTTGCGTGAAACTAGGTAACAAAGTGGTGGCTGAAATGTTGGTTCAGTGGAAGCATATGTCTGAACTACAACAGTTATTATTATAATCCTGCAACAAAATGCACCCCACCAAGAGAATCCCTAAAAGGACAAGGAAACTCAAGCCCTAGTATATTTAAGCGAATATCAGTGACCTACGAATATGAACCAAAGGTTGCAACTTATCTTAAAAAATCTTATTCATGAAACTAGTAAAGTTGCTATTTACAATAATCAAGTCGTACATTCATCTAAATCAAGAATATAAAGTCGTACATTCATCTAAATCAAGAATATCACATTGTTATGCAGAACAAAACAAATGCCCCATTGAGCAAAGTTTCTCAACCTTAGCCTTCGAAAACAACTGATCTGTGAAATGGAAGTGCAAGAAAACAGCTTCAGAAAATCTTTGAATATCTCTTAGCAAAGAACTAGGTTAAAATTTCCCAAGAAGCTCTCAACGAAACTTACAGTGGGAAGTAACTGTGTAAACATACCAAGAAGAGACTTACTTGGAAGTAGAGTCGTTGAGAGAGAGAGAGAGAGAGAGACTGTCTGTGAGAGTGTTAAGAACATACTGATTGCTGGTTCCTCAGCTCTCAATCTGGAAGGGAGAGCGCAGGCAGGAAAGAGTAGGGCTTCGTTTCGTCGTGATTGTCTTGTTTCTTTGATCTGCAACGGATTGGTGATGGGCCATCAGGCCTTATTGGGCCTGCAGATTTTTATTTTTTATTTTTTTGTGAAAATTAGAATTGAATCTTCTAGATATACTTATTTGGAGATAAGTCCTATAAAGAAACTTATAAGGNTAAACATACCAAGAAGAGACTTACTTGGAAGTAGAGTCGTTGAGAGAGAGAGAGAGACTGTCTGTGAGAGTGTTAAGAACATACTGATTGCTGGTTCCTCAGCTCTCAATCTGGAAGTGAGAGCGCAGGCAGGAAAGAGTAGGGCTTCGTTTCGTCGTGATTGTCTTGTTTCTTTGATCTACAACGGATTGGTGATGGGCCATCAGGCCTTATTGGGCCTGCAGATTTTTATTTTTTATTTTTTTGTGAAAATTAGAATCGAATCTTCTAGATATACTTGTTTGGAGATAAGTCCTACAAAGAAACTTATAAGAGGTTAAGTCCATATTTAAAATTATACGTAATGACTTAAATCCACTTTTTTTTTATCTCAAAAATACTCTTCCTTGAAAGAAAGTTAATATTTTCTCTCTTATATTTATCTATATTCATATATAGGTTAAGACTTTGATTAACATTAAAAATTTTCTTCTCTTATATATATATAGTAACATTAAAAAAATAGTAACATTTAAATACAAAAAAAAAATTACTATAAATTTGAATAGTAAAATTCAAATTCATGTTACTATTTTTGTTATTATGTTACTGTTCATATACTATTATTTTTAACCATATTACTATTTTTGTTGATCATGTTATTATTTATTATTTTTCTAAATATTAATATTCAATATTACTATTTTTTTTTATTTTTGAATATTATTATTTTTTGTATTTGAATGGTACTATTTTTTGCGTTTGAATGAGAAAAATAATTATTGTTAAGTATATTACAGTTTTTGTTAAGCATGTTACTATTTTTGTTGAACATATTACTATTGTTATTTTTTAAAAATATTAATATTGAATGTTTCGATTTTAATATGTTTAAATATATTATTTTTTGTGTCTAAATAATAAAACTTTTTTTTGTATTTGAATGTTACCATTTTTTTTATTTTTAATGTTACTATATATATATACACATATATATAGATAAATAAGAGAGAGGAAAATTTTTAATATTAATCAAATTCTTAACATATATATGGATATAGATAGATATGAGAGAAAAAAAATTTTAATGTTAATCAGATTTAGGAGTTTTTAATTTTTAGTTTATTTTACTTCTAAAAGAAAGGGATATTATGGTAAAATTGACAAAAAACAAACTTCATAACAAATAAATTTTATTGACGGACATAAATCCAAACAAGTCCATATAGGAGGACTGACCTCCAAATTTCTATTTTTTTTTGGCCGATTAAAATGAAGGAGTGGGAGCAAAGAAAAGTGTCCAACGATCAGTCCGATAGACCTTCATCGATGGAATCATAAGACTTCTGACAGCGTCTGAAACATCTCTCAAGACCAATAAACACCCACTATTCTTTTATGCAAACTAACAAGTAAGAAAACAATACTTNAAAGCAACCCGACTGATCCGTAAATCGGGTTTACGATTCTGCCACAAGCCTCGTATAGCAGTGATCTAAATATCGCTGTACGTAATCAAAGAAAATAGAGGGGTTAGAACTCAGAAACTCAGAATATGACTATATATTTAACATACATACTGTACAGTTAATATAGATGCAGGGTACTACTGACCAGGGCGGAGGTGTTCGGGACCGGCGTTGATGAGGTTCATGAGTCCAGCGCGGCCGTAGAACTTGGCGAGGAAGACGGTGGCATTGGCTTGGGACTCGGAGGTCTTGATCCATTGGAGGCATGGTTTGATGCTGCAGTTTTCGCTGCAACCCTTTCGAAGGACTCTGCATCCATTACAGCTCATCCGCATTGCTACTTTTCTTGTGAAGAGATTATTGTACAGATAGAGAAAGCAGAGGGTATGGCGGTGGTGGTTGTTGGATGTGGATGAAGTGTGGAGGAGATATATAGGAGGGAGGCAAAGGAGGGCTGCTGGGTGAGGAGATATATAAGAGAGAGAGAGAGAGAAAGAGGGGGGTAGGTGGGCAGCTGGGTTTTGGGGGAAGGGGGGTGGGAGTGGGGGAGAGAGTCCACAGCGCAGTTGTTTCCTAAGGAGCGGTAGTGTTTTGGGAAAACCAGGCTTCCACATTCATGGAATCGGGGGATGCCATAGCCATTGATTTTGGTTAAAATAATACTAGAAATGGAATCACTTAATTGAAACGGCTAATCCCATCTAGCGCGCGTGAAATCACTACCCTTGCGTTAGGGTCAATGTTACCCTCTCATTGGGAGGTACACCCCCTCTCACTATTGCCGATCGTAGGTTTAACTTCTCTATTTACCCCATAGTGTGACACAAGTGTTCCCGCTGCACTACAACGTCACATTACTTAATTATAAAGACTACATTCTTTAATCTCTTTTTTAATCTTATTTTAAGCATTATACTTAACATAAAAACAAAAGATAATATTATAATAATCAAAAATATATATTAAATTATACCCAGTTCAACTCAACTTGACTTAGCCTAACAAATTCTATTAGTTTTTGAGCAATGCAACGTGAACTTAAAATATAGACTTGATCAATTATTATAACTGATTTTATTGTGCATTTTAATATTTATTGTGATCTATTATCTATTTAATAGTTGCGATTGTATAAATATACATTTTAAGTTCAAAAAATATTTCTCTTATTTTTTGGGTCAACTACATGAATTTTAGTTTGTCATTATATTTTGGATTAATAATAGTTTGGTTCTTAAAATATACATATTTTATCAATTTAGTTCCTCAAAATATTAATATTGTTTCTAAAGTATTTAGTTCTAGTTTAAATAATTCTTACATGTATAGACCGATAAGTTCTTAATGAAATTATGATGCGTTAAGCACGTGATGTCGTCTAAAAAAATGACAAGTGATTACTTTTGTTAAAAAAAACTTAACAAATTATCTAATTAGAGAACAGAGTGACAGAGATTTAAACTTTAGAAACTAAATTGATAAAATTAATCTAATAATAACCAAATTGACAAAGCAAACATATTTAAATTTCAAATAACTAAAGAGAAATACTTCAAAACTTAAATAAAATTCAAAAAAATTATAACTCAAATACATATTATTTTTTAAATGAATTGATCTCATTAGTTTTTGTAATAGAACCCGATCATTTAACGAATAATATGTGTTTGAGTTATATTTTTAAAATTTTATTTGAATTTTCTTACATTTTTCATAACAAAAAGAAGCAGATTAAAAGCATCAAAAGTTAGGGGTTAAAGTGGTTATAAAGAGAAAAGATACTGCAGCTAAGAAGAACACGTGGAAGAGGATCAGGAACCTCGGATTTCGGATCCCATGCAAGCGAAAACAAAAAAGAGAATGCGCGTGTATGACACGTGACACTGTCAGAGTGCGGTCGAATCGCCACATCGTGGAAACATGGGCCCACAAACACTGGCGTGACCCACCTGCTTCTCGCTCCTGGTTTTCGGGAAGTTCGTGTTCACAAAACCGCTTTTGGTGAGACAAAAACCAGCGGCTGGTTTCTGGTTTTGGATTTTAGGTTTTTTTGGGACTGTGGGCGCAATTGTCAGACCCTATGGGCCACCGGTTTCGCCGGTTTCACGTCTCGTTCTTATCCCACAAGCCAGGAAAGTTACTCAACAACTTGCCTGCTATAATTAATTAATTACTTAACTGAGTAAATTACAATTTATACCCTCTCAATACACACATAATTTTTATTTAGTCCCTAAAATTTTAATTTAAATAATTACACTATTAAAGTTTTAATTAAGTTTCAATTAAAATTTTCTATTCAGATCTATTAATTTGTTCTAATAGAATAACATCACTGGACATACCTATAAAAATATATTTATCTAACAAATTAAACGAAATAAAGTAAAGTTTATAGCTTACCTGAAAAATAATTTTTCACTAAATAAATATTTTTTTTTATCTAAGTCACGTGTTGACCACGAGAGCTAATTTCGGCATAAAAATTTGATAAAGTTTGACGTAAGAACTAAATTGGAATACAATTAAACTTCTAAAGATTTGATTTGTTAAAATTTAAACTTCAAGGACCAAATAAGAATTAAGTGTATATTTTAAGGGTATAAATTATAATTTAACTTAATTAATTTTAATAGTTTTAAATTTTAAACTCGCCTTAGATACGGATACAAATTATAATCTTTTCCCACATTGCACACATGCGCGTCGAACACGTTTAATCCGAATTCCATGAGTCCGATTTTAGTCTTCTATGGATTAATTATTTGATCCATTATTCATATTACAATATATTATATTTGAATTTTAAGTTTTTAATATCTAATTTGATTATAATTCAGTTCAAGTTTATGTAAATATATATAAACGTATCATGTAATTTAATAAATATTTAATAAAAGTAAATTTAAATTCATCAAACATACCATAATCAACTTTAATTAAATTATTTGAATAGAATTGAATATTTTTCAAATATCAACAATGAATACAATAGACCAAATATTAAATTCATATTTAACTCAGTAATAGACCTTTCAATCGCGTCATATAATGTTGGTTTGTGTTGGATCTTAACTGATTTATGTCAAAAAATAATTTATTCATACTTAATTCATTTATTAATTCGTATATAACAAATTGTGTCATATCATATTCTATCTAATAAATTGTGTTATATCAGATTCGTATCGTATACATAAACGAGTCGTGCCATTTTTTTTTATTAGTTTCACTTAAATTTAATTCATTTATTAATCAGATAACGTCGAATCTAGTCGTTTACAAAACGAATAATTTAAAGAATATCTAAATTTTATAATTTCTTGTCATATTAACAGCAGTGTCATATTATGCCCCGCCCCCCCATTAGTACATAGTCAATTTAAATCTAATTGGTTGATAGGCCAATTTCAATTTGTAACTGGTGATTGGAAAGTGAAATTCAAGCGCGAGAAGGAAAGTGGGGGTATGGGGGTTGTCTGGATTTCATGTTTTAAAATATATTTATAATTGAAAAAAGTGGGCGGCCGCTGAGAATTTGGAAGACAGAACTTAACCGTCCTCTGTCACTTGTATTATTAACTATAATAATCTTTCAATTGCTAATCAGATAAGTATTGACTTTACCAAATTTCCCCCCAAACAATGTTCTGATAAGTGTGGTGGACTCCACACCCATTTAATTTTATTAATAATTAATAATTTAGATTTTTTTTTTTTTGACGCAGCAATAAAATTATTTTATTATAATTTAAAAATCATGAATTCAAGTCACAAAAATAATATCTCCGCTTGCAAAGAATAAAATACGTATATCTAACCTATCAAACTTCACAATAACGAAAATATCGTACACCGGGTAGAAGGGCCCACTCAATCATTAAGTTAATAAAATATGAATTTTATGTACAAGTTTAAAAAAAATTGTATAATTAATTGATGTGTTATTAGGCCTATTAATTCAGCTCACGGAATTAAAAGGCAATAAACTCTAAGTTTCTAAAAAATAAAAATAAAACTATTAAAAATTTTAAGTCTTAATTCCCTAAATAAAGTCAAATTCCAACTTACAAGTATAATTTTTCAACCATTCTATGTCTCCTTTGCCCCTCTCTTACATCAAGTTCAAATATAACCAAAAAAAACTTAAATATAAAATTTTAATTAATATTTTTATTATTTAAAAAAATTAAAAAATAAATTTATTATTGCTACTAAAAATAAAAAATATCTTATTTATTGTTTCTGCTTTAAGCCTTCACTCACAATGTATTGGACCGCCCGTTGGGTATGTCCTTCTAATAAGTTAGAATTTAATAAAAAAATTCATACATTTGAATGTATCTAAATCTAGACGAGGCTAAGTGGGTCGTACGTTTCTTCAGGAGGTGGTGATTGTTGCTTTATTGGCATTCATAAATGTTCTTTATATTAACTTATTATTATTAATAATAATAATTATCTGCCCACTTGCAGATCAAATTTGAAAGCTGTAATTTCTTTATACTTTAAATTGAATTTCCTACGTCACGCAACTCCAAAGCTTATTATAAGGGTGTAAAGTAGATTTAGTGGCCCACGCAATTAAGATTGGAATTTTAAGAAGCATGAGTTGCACAAAAACCGGTGTCAATTTGGTTTAAGATTAGTTAATATCACTATATAAAATTAAGGCAAATAACTATTAAGGAAATGATTCTCGGACCAATAGTTTAGTTTTTTTTTTTTTTATTTGGATAACAAGAATGAAAATGAAAAATCAAAAACATGTTTCGCACAAAAAATATGAATTCTTCATGTCGTATTTTCATTTAGGGTTCATTTGATTAACGAGAGAGTGGTGGAAAATGAGGGAAAGAAAAAAAAAATTGTAGCGTTTGTTTAGTAAGAAACTACAGTTTCTTTGGAAAAAAAAATTTCCCGTATAATTAGATTTTCCCCTATGAATTATTTACCAAAACTCCTACTAGTAGTCATCTTCTCAGCCGACTTATCAAGGAAATTTGCCTCTTTCATCCTTGCACATCTTCTTAAACAATTGATAAAGTAAGTTTTTCTTTCATCTCTCAATTACTCTATATACTAGAATTGCTACATACTGCAAGCAACAAAACCTAACAATTTGTATTAGTCTAAACACTTTGGAGTGTTAATTCTTTAGATCGATAATTTGTGTTAGTCATGTGTATCCGTTGTGTTTTTTCTGCAGCAAGAGTCAATTTTTTCCCCTTTTTTTATCTATCTATTTTTCTTTGTTAATTGTTGGATTAATGCTCCGTTTGGTAGGAAGGACGAAATGTAGGAATGATGGAAAGTATAATGGATGCACTTTTTATCATTTAATAATGAAAAATATGAATGATACACTTTCCTTCTTTTGTGCTTGGTTGAATGGATGGAAAATAAAAATGACTAATTTTTTTAAATTTTTTTTTTTGTGATGGCTAAGATTATAGTTGACAATCGAGTCGTGTCGTGTCAGATTCGTGTTAAGTCATAAAATTATGAGCCTTTTA